TAAAAACAAAACTACCTACCTACCAATAATACACCAGTAATATCAGTGTATTACGGGTATTACTGCCCCTCCCATCAGAGAAATGACTATACTTGTTTACATGATCCCAATGGTCATCTCAATTCTGGTTAAGTCAGCTGTTATAACTATTTTATGTATTTTATATGTACAGATAGGCATACATGAAATATGAGGATACTCTGACGTTGACTGGTTAAGACCATGTTGGTATACTTTTGTCTTCTATTACATGTAACTCTTCTCAGCCCCCAATTTTTGAACTCTAAATAAATAAAATGTAATCTACAAAGATAAAACATTATTTACAAATGAAAATATTCATCCTGAGAATTTTTATTTTTAAATCTAGGAGAACTATTTCACAGAAAAGGCAATTACCAATCTGTGAAACAGAAATGCACCTCAAGAATTAACTAAAGAATTCATAATTAAAGATCAATTTACTCAGGCTGCAGCCAAGAAAAGCATGAGGATATTTAAGAACTCTTAAATTCATTTGCATGCAAGAAATTAATCATTTACAACTTCAACTTCCAGTGTTCTTCCTTCTGAAACTTGTTTAATGTATTAGTCTGATTGTATTTTGGAAGTAGGTGAGAGTGGAAAAATACCTGAGGAAAACTCACTAAGGTGCTGAGGGTCTGAGAAGGAGCAAGATGGGGCTGTGTAATTGTTATTAATCACTTACTCTGGACTGTCCCCACAAGCAGAGCCAATCAGCCTTTGGCTCTACCTATACTGAACTCCCTTAAAAGGAGCAGTTGGCTAAATAAATTCAATGCTTTACAAAGGAAAAATATCAAGATAAAACAAAAACCTAAATAAAGGTAAAATATCAGATTCTTTGCTTTATAATGTGATCATAACATTACCTATTTGCAGACATTAAAAGAAATGGTTCAACAAAGAATCAAACTGGTTTCTCCGGGTATGTATCATTACAATGAATCTCTTTACATCTTTATGGTGTGAGCAGACAGTGATTATTTTGGAGAAGGAAAAATAAGAGTGTGGAATTAGTAACGCAGATGCTGAAAGGCAAGTGGCAGGACTAGAAGGATGTCTCAAACAAATGCTACTTTGTTCCCATCTCTACTGACACCTACCCCACCTCCCCCCAAGTAAAAGACCAGAATAACCAAAGCCATTTTAACAGTAGTGTGCGGAACTGTCAGCTGACAAACAACATGAAAACAAGTCACGCTATGTTATCTGTGGTCACGTTCTTCAGGGTTAGTCCAGTAACTCAAGACTTTACATTCTTTTGTCTTTATTTGTTTATTTTAATTAAACATGTAAAGGTTAATAAACAGACATAGTCCAGAGTTAGTAGGTTGGTATTATAACATTTATTAAAATAATGCTATGGGTTAATAGAAACAGCAAAGAACCAAAGAATTAAAATGCAAGCTATGTAAAATCCCAACTAAAACCCAGAAGTGTCTAATGTATTCATTCATTAGCTAACTAAAAGCCCAAAAAAGACAAGACACCCAATATAATAAAGTACTGCAAAACAATTGGCAATTTTCAGTTATCAAAATTGTGGATTTTGCATTTTGTATCCTTTTCTCAATCAAGAAAAAAATTCTTTTTGAATGTTATATAACATACATATAAAACAAGATAGAAAAATACATTATAAACTTGTAACAATGGCTGTAAATACATTATCTTACATGTTTCTCATAGGCAATAGGTTGGTTATGGTACATACATAGCATGAAACTACTAAGATAATAAAGAATAGACAAAAATACATGTCAGCTGTACGGTAACATACAAGCGACACTCCCATCTACCCACGCTAAAAAATTACATAATACTGTCAGAAAAAAAATCTTAAAAACTACATATTTTAATAAGAAATAAATTCAATATAAAGAATGATAATACTGAGAACCAAGGCATTCAGAGATTTCAAAAGTCATGCTTTTTTTCAGTTGATCCAAAATTTTGTCAACTAAGTTTTCAAAAATTTGTTCAGAGCCAACATTACTCATAAATGTCATACATTTATTACTTCATACGTTTACTTTCTTCCCCATAAAAGACCTTTGATAAACATCTAAAATGTCCAGGTATAACATAGTTGAGATGAAACTGGATCAAATACTGGTATCGTTTTTAACAACTATCACCTCAAGTGTTTGAGTGTCGCAAATTTATTCAACCAACCAAACAATATAAAAATCAAAATGGCACAGCATATATTGTAAATAAATCAAAACAACTGTGTGTGTAACAGAAAGACAAAGCAGTGGCACGTTAAACCAAAGCTAGCTGGATATAAAACAATGAATGTCTATTGCATAGTAAATAAACTGAAATTTCCAAGTGAGACAAGATGGTGGAGAGGTTACCGAGAAGGTGCTGACTGAGCTCCCTGCTGGCCTCTGACTGTGACGCTGGGAAGGTGTGGAGGAGGGGATGAGCTGGTAAGAGGGGGATCCACTGTCACTTGAGATTTGCCACATCTGGTACTGAGCAGTAAATGATGATACTCAAGTGTTTAGATGTATGCATTGTGCACAAATTGCTTGCTTCAACTACAAAACTAACTGTTTGAACTCCATGAGAAATTAGAAGCTTAAGCTGAAATGTAGTTGAGTATTTATATGCACAATGATGCCAGTTTTTCACATTCTTTTAAAGTTCAAAGGTGGGGTTTGTGTTCAGGGGGACGAGAGGTTACTGAAACCAGCAAAGAGATGGACTACACAAGTTATCTGGTATGATATATAGAAGTCTGATTAAGTTTGGTTCATTTAAAAACACTGTTTCCAGAATGAAAATCACAAAGATTCACTTTTGTGAAAAAGTTTGCTATGTACTCTATTATCTCCAATTAATTAAAAAAGAAAACTCTAATGCATCCCCCTTCTCCAAATAAAATAAAACTCTAATTTTGTCTGTAAACTGATGTTCAGATCACACATAATTTTAATCTCAGAATCCTCTGGGCTAACACTGAAGACTCCAATAACCAAAAGTACTCAATTATGATTTTTAAAAGAATGATGTTTTAAAACTTACTATTCAAGACATTAGAAAAGTTATCAAATTTTTTCACAGTATCAGATTTGGCAAATTTGCATCAAGGTAACTGTGGCAAAAATCATATAATTCAGACCATCAACTCATCTGTCTCCCTCATACCTTCTTTCACATACTGGGCGACTGAGTAACATGCATTAACTTGTATTCTGAGGGAGGAGCTGATCTTACGAGACACTTGACTAAATGACCATGAAGGAAAATAAGGCACTTTCTTTTCTTTAGACTTATTCCAATACTTAAAAAATAAAAAAGAAAGACAAAAAGGCTCTTTTGGTCTTTTGTTTCTTGACAACCACCAGAAAAAAATCATTTCATGAAATAAAGGGTTTCTTTGTTCTTTTTCTTTTTTTTATAACACTTGAAAGTATAAAATGCTACATTTCCAAAAATATATATATTTTTTTCTGCACCAGCACCCTTGTATAGTAAAAGTATCTACTTTTTGTTCATTTGTTTCAATGCACTACACTTTATCTACAATTTCATTACATGTATACAGCAAATAGGCAAGCATGGCTTTTACATCCTTAATGATTTTTTCTATACAGGGAGGTTTAAAAAAAATACTTGAACAGTTTGCCCAGTAATGTGACACATAATGCATGTACCTTGTTCTCATATATATTTTTTAAGAAGGTGTAAAATAAAGGTTCAGTAATTTTAACTCAGATAGTTATCTTTTTAAAAATAGTGTTGCAGTTTTGTTCTTTGCATTACTTTTCAAAACTCCTTAAGTTTTTCTCTCATGGCACACTTTTCTAATACTTCAAATTTTGGCAGGCAATATAAAAAAGGCTGCAACTTCTGCCCTTTGAGGGCACTGTAGTGACTAAACAGCATATCAAATTTTGAATACTTTTTGAAATCACTTCACCAATGACATCCCTGACCGAAGGTTCATGCATGATGCATCATCACACAGTACATTCAGAGAGAGCTTTGACTTCGCTATGAGAAGAAAAAGATTCCTAGAAGTCTCTCACAGTAACTGCCTCTGTCATTGAGTAGTTAAGGGCCATCTGTCTCCCCTTCTTAAGAGAGGCCTTCTTACCGTTCGCTTAGGGTGGGACATTAAAAGATGATCAGTGCTGTGGGATGAATTGGGCCTTATTGCTTTACTACTATTCAGTGCAGGTTCTAGAACCACTTTCACCCAAACAGGGAAAAAAAAAAAGCTGAGTTGGAGGACAATTTCTTTGTCTTTTGTTTGGTTAGATGGTAAGACGAACGGACAAGTGCCTCAGCTCGCTGCACTGACGACAGGCAAGCAAAGGCGATTACCAGTTAACTGATCAGCAGGCAGGCATGGTCAGGTCATCATTGGGTGAAGAGTTCAGAGGTCAGAAGGTCATAGGTTAGTTGCCGGTGGCGGCTGGGTGGTTAGAAACAAAAAACAAAACAAAAAAAGAAAAGAAAAGATAGAGAAGAGATTAGTTTCAGCTAGTGACGGCTTAATGACAACATGAAAAACTAATCACAACTAATAAAAAAAAAAGCATGTTTAATTCTGACAAACTGATTGACACCATCTACAGAATACAATAAAAATCATGACAATTTCATATCATGATTTGAACGAATGAAGAAGAGCCCACTCCCACAAAAACAAAAAACAAAAAACTGGTTAACAGGGAAAAATAGAAATAAAATACAACTAACAACTAATAGTTAGTAGCAGTCAATGAAGGAAGTTGAAAAACAACAATGAATAGGTTTGGTATACAGAATTTTGAAACAGTCAGTACAGTTATCAGTCTCTGACTGCTATTAAGCATTAGTATTCTCTTGGATGCAAGCATTAAAGCAACTATTAATGATGGATGTGATTATTAATAACTGATGATTAACAGAAATGAATCTAAAGAAATTTAAATTTCTATGAACAATTTGGTTCAACATAAACTCTGGGCCAAACAAGGTTTCTTTTGTTCAATAAATGTTTATTGCTTTTTCAATTATTCTATGTACAAACAACATGGAATTTCTTGGCCTCATGATACAAAGCAATACTAAACTGTAGTCTATCAGTGTAGGCAACATCATGGGAACCAGAAAAAGGCCAGGCCTTCTGCACTAGCCACCATTTTCCAGTTGAAAATACTATTTTACACATATAGAACACTTATAAAATTCACTTGCATGTAAACACTGTAAAATCCTGCCATTTAAAATTCTATACTCGAAAAGCTCTAAGTACATCAAAAAATAGAAGAAATTTCTAATTGATACCAATAAGGCATTTTAAAACTACAAACAGCTTTCTTTATTCAATTTCAAAGCTAATACTCTGCAAATACAATAAAATCTGACATTTCATATACATTCCTGCTTTATATTTTTATATTTTAAAAGAAGCCACCTGTAAATACTATTTTCTTTTGCAAAATAACAAAAAGAACAAAAAAAAAATTAAAAAATTACAGTAAAACATAAAGTAGTTCTCAAGTGGAAAAGTTATCATTCCCAATGTCCTTGAGTTGTTCCTTCCTTAATCAACCTGTTAACATTCCTGCTTCACCAAACTTGGTCCACTTAACAGTAGTATGATTTTAAGACTCATTCAACAGCTTAATTATTTCTACTATATTCTGAGGTTTGGTAGAATATTCTGTACTGTTGCCATGTAACTAAGGCAGAGGAGATGTGAGTGAAAAGATACTCAGTGCAAAGTTAGGTTCTGTGCCACTTCATCAATCACAACTTAGCAGGTGTAATGTTCACAGAGTTTAAATGATCTATATAATGGACTGATTTACCTTCATATGACAAAAATGCTTTCTAAAGTCTATCATTTAAAACAGTTTATAAATACTACAAAAATATTGTATCTTCAATGTGACCAAATCTTCCCTGAATTTCTTTAAAAAAGTGGAATTTTATTTAAAATAAAAACTGCTGCTCCAAAATCAAAGAAAATAAATATTAACATGATGTAGTCATACTATTTCACAGGTATTCCAAAGTATGAAATCTTAAAGCATTTTTGATATTACTTAAAATTTTCATTATTAATGATAGTTTTGTAAAATTACTCAGAAAATTTTCTGATTATGTTTTTGAGTGTGGAATACATAAACAAAGCAAACTACCACTTATGTATACCAGTGCACCTAGAATCCATCCTCTGCCAAGTCCTGGCCTCTTACAGTACACACAGGTGTATTCACTGTGCAAAACCACTTATAATTCATTACAACTAAAAAGTCAGTGGTCTTTAGGCTTCAAATTCAGTTTTAAAATATGTATAGAGGTGGGTTTATTTTTAGTAAAGAACTAGGTATTGGTCAACCATGTAGTACTCTAATTGCTCATACAGAATTACATGGTTATATGTCCAAGGGCTGAGTTTCCTTGCATTAAATGAATGCTTATAATAATCTTCTCTTCAAAAGATTTTTAAAAAATAATTTAAAAAACCTCAAAAATAGAGAAAACAGTAGTATCATAAAATAATTTAAGTGAAGGACTTCGGACATCTCCCTTAGACCCAATGAGTGCATGCAGTGATAAGTATACAAGTATTCTGTTATTAAAAAAAAAAAAAGTTAGCAATTCGGTTTGCTGACATTGCATTTTGAATAAAAACAGTGATAGGACTAATCAAAACACATAAAACTACAAAAGAGCCATGCATGGAATGTGTTGTAATTTTCCAAATACAATAAAATATTCCTCTAATATTTTCAACTATCTCAAGGGACTGGAGTATTAAGTAGGCCAATACTTATTGTGTTAAAAACAAAATTATGAGGAATCTCCTAAAAGGAGGCATATGAGGAAAGATTACCAGGGGGGAAAACTACCTACTTTAAAATACTCTTCAGAACTATTTTAGACATTAGCAATATAAATAAAGCTTCAAATTATTCACAGAGTTATCCAGTTTCTTAAAATGAAAGTGACTTTTAAAAAAATGTCCCCATCCCTAGGGGACATGCTCTGGTGAAAGAGAGGTGGCACACATGCTCATATATAACATTTGCAAGACATATTATCTCCATAGTCACTGAGCTGGGGGTCTAACTTTGTTCACTGAATAATCACTACAAGTAATGCATATATTAGTTTAAAAGTCTTCAAGGCTCTTTAATTATATATGATGCTAAATAAATATCAATAATGTCTTTGGGAAGACATTTTATTACTCGTATGGAGAACAGTTGTGTCTAATATTTATCATCAGTATTCAAGGAGACCATATAAAGTAGGTAGGTCTTTCATAAATCTATAGATGTATAATTGGAACATAAATCCATCACCTTTTCCCCACTAATATCAATGACTTTCATCAATTTAATTGTAGGTAATATGCCATTACAGAAACTTGTAAAAAATCCTTTTCTACCATGCTTGAAATTTCTATATCTTGTGATGAAAAACTGAGAAAACAATTCAATGTCAATAAACCGAAAACTATCACTCCTCGATAAGCATAAATAATTTATAAAAGGGTCCAAGGGGATATATAGGACACAACTTACAAATGTTGTAAAGGAGAAAAATGAAGACTTATTTTCCAGTCACAGGTTAGTCAAAAAGGATATTCAAACAGCTGGATCGCATATCACCACAAAACTTCAAGAGATAGTTTACCTTCAGATAATATATTTTAGCAGCAAATGACAAAAATCAAAGGATCCATTTTGGCAAGAGAATGTAAGAATAAAAGGGAATTGACTTTCTAATGTATAAAAAATTCAACTACATGAAAGTTACCTTCACAGTCCTTCCTTGTTGATTTCAACTAAGTGCTAAACATGTACACCCTCATGTTTACACAGTGGCTCAAATATTATAAAGAAAATGGAAACTAAATCTTCAGTTTTCTCCAAAAGTATACAGGAGGCATATATTCCTTTACTTCTCTCATTAAAGCACCATCCGTTCAATTCATTTTGCAATACCAACCCCAAATTTCAGAACAATTAAAAGGTAAATTTTAGCAAAAGTTATTACTGAAAAGTAATTACGGCAACATCAAAATTTAATAGCTCCCCAAATTGACTAATTTATGTTTTAGTAGGAATAAATCATAGTGTATAATAATAGAAGATTTAATAAGTTAAAATATGAAGGGAGAAAAAACAAAACAAAACCAACCCTTAAATCTGTCCATTATTACAAATGAATTTAGAAAAGGAAAAGAAACTGTGTGCAGGTAAGCAGTTACATTTTTTCCATCAGGTGTGGTGTTGCAAATTTTACGGACACCCAACGCATTTCTTTATAAACAAGAACTGCAGAACTAAACTAACCTCGGTCTGCGGTCACAATCCTTTGGTAAGGATGGACACGCATATCGTGCCTTCGAACTTTAGTAGCCACCGCACCTAGTTAAATTGTAATTACCAAGACAAAGTTAGAAAACATTCACAAGGGGGGAAAAACATTAACAGCACGTTTATCAAAATGGATTTCAAATGTTCATTTACTACAAAAGTTTAAGAAACAAGTTAAGGCACAGTAGTTTTAAAATTAACCATAATATGTCACGTATATATGCATCTATTAATATTGCATTCATTTCAAACATCTTGGCCTTAACCTATTTTATCCATTCATTTACAATCCCCAAGTTACAGTATTTCATGAACTCTATTAGATCCAAACACATTTAAGCTTTACTAGTCACATATTCACTGAAGTGCCTTTCTTGCAGCAGGACTAATTAAATAATGCCGTGTTTAATACTGACAATTATTTGCTAACCTTAAGACCACTTCCAGAGTTTATCACTTAAAAAGGTTTAAAAGCAATTCTTAAAGCCTACAGATTGTGGTTTTAAACTTTGAGTCAATAAGTATGAACTGCAATGAATTAGGTGATTAGTAAAGCAAACAGTATAGTACACTTAGCAGTCAGTATACTACTATACACTCCTTTATAAATTACCATTACTTTGTAATATTACAGACTAAACCAAATTAATAACATAATTTTACTTTATATCTATGTGCAAAAAGTGCAAGTAAGTCACTGACTGCTAGGCTAAGCTTTTTTTCCCCCGGAGGCTGCTGAGACTAAGCATTTGTTAAATTCAGATCTGATGAGGGTTCAGTTAAGACCGTTCTTGAATTCTTAGCCTTTCGTTGGGAAAGCCATACCTAAAGATAAAAGGAAGGGAATTAAAAATTAGTCATCAATGAAGATTTGATGCTAATACCAATCTCCTCACTACTACCAACACACATGTCTGCATCTGTTTTGAAGGGCACTGCTTATGTTAAAATAATTTAATGTGAGACTTGATATATAGCATGCATGTTATCTGTGTGCAAATTTATTATAACTTTGCAATTTAATATAATTTTCTCAGTTCTCCAAGTAGTCAATATTATATTTTACTGCTTAGGTGGTAAAGCAAGAAATGAAACGGATTATGAGATTTTTCCATTTAGTACTCATTACTATTCACCTTATGAATGCCAATTAGGGATCTATATATTTTGGTCTTTATTTTGCCAGTCTAGTAATTTTTTATAAATAAAAATTTCCCAACAAAACAAAAAACATGTTGCTTTATAATGAGAAATAAATTTTACTGCAGTGCCTCTTGCTGTTTCTAAGCAGTAAACTGGTCCATCACCCCTTATTTATTTTAGATAAGCTATTCATATACAAGTATAATTCCATGTGGCAAAATCAAGGAGATCTTGCATTGAAAGTTCTGGAACAGCAGCTGGTGCCTAAGAGTCCCAGCACTGTAAGAAGTCAAGAGTCAAACTCCTCGGGAACAGATGCTGTGGGTGCAGCAGAGAGGAGTTCTGGGGGAAGGAGCATGCACAGGACCACAGGACAGAGTATTAATAGAAAGGAAAACTTAAACAAGGTTATAGGTTACATGTTATTTTAAAAATGCTTCAAGAAATGTGCAACAGAAACAAGCCTCTCATAAACAGATATGTGGTATAATTCTGACCTGTAATTACTTTATACAATGATTTAGAGATATACGGAAAACATGTACAATAAAATGTATTTGTTGATAAAACAAAAGGCACCTGAGTGCATGCACACACACAGATAACATACAGAGCATTGTGGTTTTAACTGAACAATGAATTTTTGAGTTTAAATCTTGGTGTCCCAGTTCATTAAAGACTTTCAAATTTTTATAAATCAAGATTAATGCTGGAAAAAAACCCTTAAAAGATCAAAGTCTTAAAAGTCAACAGAATGCATGCAGCACCAAGGTCATACACAATTCAGGGAAAAAAAGTATTCAAATTCTGTCTGGTAAAACAAAGGGGTTGCACAGAAAGTTTGTTCCACATTGACTGGTCGTGTTATAACAGCTGCTGTATTCTAGTCCTTCATCCAGCAAGTCAATGGGCTGAAATATCAGGCATGACTGGCATTTCAATCCACTCTATAAAAAAAAGGCATCAGTAATGTCTTTTGCAAGCACACCACTTTTTGTTCACGTAAAACCAAGCGTTTATAGTATGATTTTAATCTTTGCCTCGTGAGATTCTGAATTCAGTAACTTGGTATTTACTTATCTATTCCATACTGTACTACTGAAATTAAGAGTATTTCTCATGTTTAATATTGACCAGGACTTCAAAAGACAAAAACTGAAACCGTAAGAAGGCAACTACAGTCATGCACAGAATAACGACGTTTAGGGCAACGATGGGCCGCACATACAATTGTGGCTTCACAATATTACAATGGCTATATCATACAGCCTAGGTGTGTAGCAGGCTGTATTACCTATGACTGTATAAGTACATTCTATGATGTTTGCACAATGATGAAATCGCTTGATGACGCAATTCCCAAACTTATCCCCGTCATTAAGCAACACATGACTGTATTTAGCTGGTCTCTTTCGTATTTTAAGTGATCACAAATACTAACACACACAATATTAATTTTATAAAAATCTCAATATGTTCACATAGAAATTTAAAATTTAGACAACAATTAAATAAGTCAAAAGAAATATAACTTTGGGAGGTGGAGCTGATGGAGGTGATAGGCCATGGAGTGAAACCTAAAACTCAGAATGACCTCAAGTAAGGTCAAATGTGTACAGTATTTTGTTTAAAATGTATATAACAAATTTACCCAACCAAAGTGGATTTGAGTTATCAAAGTGGATCTGAAAAAATTTAAGGTGCAATTATTTAAACATAATTTAACATGTTATATTATACAACGGAATCTTATTGAGAGATTGAAATAAGTTTTTAGTCTTTCCTAACGGAAACTTGTCTTGTGCCTCTCAGAAAATTGATAAAATCATTTCCAAATTGGGGGCAGCAAAATTTATAAAGAAGAATGATGTTAACCACACAGGGAGAAGAACTTACCTAATACACCACTAGGTTCAATAGGATACTCAAGGATTGATGTAGCTGGTGCCAATGTGTAGGGGTATTCATAAGGTGTGTAGATTAAACCAGCTTCGGGGCCTGGAGGAACTATTGCAGCAGTTGGGTGAGGAGTTCCGTTTGGCATGACAGCGGTCTGTATTTGTCTGATCAAAGGCATTATGGTAGGGCCAGCTGGCGTAGGAGTACGCAGGGCAGCTGGTGGGAGAACAGGCGCAGGCCCAGTAATGATCCTTGGAGCAGCCTGGGCTGTTGCTGCAAGAGAAAAGGCAAGGGCTGCTACAGTAAGCAAAGAAATTTAGAAAGAAGTATAGAGATAGCAGTGTAAAATTTGGGAAAATGAGAGGGGAGTAGGAAAAAGAATGGAAAAAGCAGGAAAGAAGAAAAATAAAAGGAAATCATTAGTACATGCGCTGATCACACAAAAATGCCAAAGCACACCAATCAAATGCAAACAGCTTTCCCTTTCCCAATGTGATTAAGAATATGCAAAAATTAAAAAGCCACTGTAAAAAAATGAATGAGACCATTAAATAGGTTATATTTAGTTCATATATTTGATATATCTATATTTTTAAGATTTCACAAGACTAAAGGTGCATGCAAAAGCACAAGAAAACACTTGCAATTAAAAGATGTTAAAAAATAATTTGTAATTGGAGTCCACAGAAACACAGGTTTGATATATTTCTCAAGATCAGCTTAAGTTTCAAATTAAAAGAAGAGCAATTTTCATTGTATTAAGTTAGTCAAATAACCACAATGGGTGTGTGTGTGTGTGTGTGTGTATAAATATATATATAAATTATGTGCATCTTTAGGAATTAACTTCAAAGAAAAAAAAATACAAAAAGTCCCATTTCTAAATTCCCAATTATTAACAATATACTCTTCACATTCTCATAAGTAAATTAAAGTTTACTATTTGTGAAGTAACTACTTCTAAACTGACTGGATTGTCTACATTGTGGAAAGTTGGCTAGGACTTTAAAATTGTTTCTTTCAAAAAAATTAAATATATTATGTTCATATAAATGACATGCATAAACCTTAGATTGTCTCAAAATATAGATTTCAATTATTTCATTTTAAATATAAAGAAAGGAATCCTCTTATGGCTTATAAAAACATTCACAGACACATATAAAGGAAAAATAGAACTGAAAATAGTTATCACCCACTGATCTCTATGAACTCACATATGAAATCAATAGGAAAAAAATATCCAAGGGAAAACATGCAAACAAAGTAAAAGGACAGAATTCAACATAAGGGTCATTTCATTCAGATATATTTCACTTTGGAAATAAGCCGGAAGCCTTAAATCTGTAATTAACTTAATAGGAAATTTCTTAAAACTTGAATTCAGAGATTGAGATTGCATCAAAAGAATAAATAAACTCAAAACTTAGACATGCTGGCATAAAATAAAATTGAGTGTCCTCAATTCAAGAAATATATGTCTGTCCCATATCAAGTGACAAAATTACTTCAACTCTTTACTTTGTTTAAACTGTTCACATGTTATGTAGCCAAAAGGAGAAAGATTTGTAGAGAAAACAGCTGAGACAGTGGTAACCCCGGCCCTCAGTCTCGTTCTTACGTGATTTAATGTTGGCATCTCTGTAGGTGCCATTCAGAATCGCAAGCTCCATCAGCTGCATCTTCTTCAGGCTGTCTTCTCCTTCTGCCTACACATGGAAAACACAAGAGAAGTTAAGCATTTGAGATCATCCACATGTATATCACAGGTATATCTGCACACGCCCCTTAAAACAGATACGTGATTATAACCACCTGCTTCAATAAGGGAAAAAAAATCAGTAACCAAAAGGTGCTGACATATGGAAGCCCATTCTCTCAGTGATGGCATGTTGATACACAGAATGATATTCTTAACAGCCACTGGCTGCATTTCTATTTGAAAACTTTTATGTAAGCTATACTGATTTATTAAAGTTCTCCTGAAAAGCTCTGCTTTTAAGTGTACATGAACAGAAATGTTAAGATTAAATATAGTATATTCTCTTCAGCATCTATCATTTTGCTGAATATTCCAAACCAAGACATGTTCATTAAAAGAAAAAAAAACACACACTGTGATTTTAAACATACAAACATACAACATACCATCTAATTGTGGTATTAAGATAAGGGAATTTTATGCTTAGTTCTCCATAAAGGGAAATTTAGTGAAGTTATAAAAATCATTAAGAACTTCTAATGACTGTACATTCTACTCTTTTATGCCACCATCCCTTTCCTTCCTCAATCTAATTAGTGCTATCAAATCTATGGCAATCTATTAATATTTTTAAGGTCACCATATAATTTACTGTCCAAACCAGGAAATGCCTAAAAGCAAAAGAGGGGCACTATGGTATAAAGACAGGCATAAACCAGAATTACCCTGATCATCGAAATGTCTGGCCACCCCATTTACCCTAGCTTCTTTGTACCACTCTTTCTATTTACTGTTGTCATCCTTATTCTAGTCATTCTTGATGTAGTACCCAAACTACTAGACTACCCTGTTAACGACGTCTTGTCCTCCAACCAATCTATACACAAAGGCCAGATTAACTGCCCAAAACACAATTCTCATCAAAATATTTCTCAACATTCTCATGTCTCAAACCCATTAATGGTTTCTTATTACTATCAAAACATTTCAAAGACTTAAGCTACCTATGATTTGGCCCCAAACTATCTTCTCACGTTAAACCAATTAATCTTCTACTATTTAAACAAACCTATCTCATGTTTATTAAACATTTTGTAAAATAAAACTAGATCATCCCCCCCCACTGACCTCTGTGCATATTCCCATTTCCTCCACTGTAAATGCTCCTTTGTATGTCATATACCCCTCCCTCTTTCCAAATCCAACCTATCCCCACAAATTGCAACCCAGATGTTACCTTCTCATGGGACCATCCCTTCATTACAGTAAATCTTCACTGAATGTTGTCAAAAGGTTCTTGGAAACTGTTAACTTTAAGTGATATGATGACTTACAGCAGACCTTTGAATAAGTCATTCCCTTCAACGTCATTATACTCCATATGCCTAAAGTCACAGTTTCCAAGATACTATGGATGATATTAAGTGACGACCTACTGTATACTCTTTCTGCCCTGAATAATAGTTTGTTGAATATCACCACTCCCAAAGTAAAACCAATGAGAATAGAGTTTCCTTATTTATCACTGCCTACTCTCCATGTACCCATCTACCCAAGTTACTTGCTAGAACTTATTTTTTAAATAACCGGTATGAGAAATCTTTATTTCCAAATCTGAAATGTCTAAGTCCTATAAAGATAAACTTTAGCCACAGGAAAAGAAAGCAGTAAAGTTTTATCTTTCAAAGTTTGTGTAGAGATGCCCCCAACTTTTATACATTAGCTAATCCTCAGTACTTAATATTTACAACGAAAGTAACCCAACAATTCAATTTTCTGATATAATTTTCTTCCTCCCTGATTCAAAAAAGGGGCAGGGGCAGAACCAGGACAAGTGACAAACTTCTCAGTTCTTTTCTTTATTGCAGCTGTAATGATACAGAAAACTCTATCTTTGGCATTACAGCACAGAATGGTGTACTATAATTTATAGTAAATAGGACTGCTGAGTGAGCTTTTAATAAATCACAAAGATTTAAAGATGAGTGAAAACATCATGAAAACAATGTTTAAATGTGCCAATGCCAACTTTTAAAAAACCTACTTTGCAGTAGAATACAGGGAGAAGATATTTGCTCATGCTTGTGGAATTACTATTACTTGATTCCCATCAATTTGCACAAAGATGAAGAAAAAAATGAATATGATTTCTTTGAAAGACACAGAAATTACTTGTTAAAAACAAAAACACATTAATATTGGAAGAATTAGAAATTCATTATAATAAAACTCCTTAAGCTTGTTTGCTAAAAACTAATAGTACTAAATATTAAAACTTCTCAAGATTTCAAATTTAAACCTACATATAATAATGGAATACCAGAAGTCTATTAATAAGTTATATTCTATATAAATAAAAGGAAAGCAGTAGGTATACCTCCAGTCATCCTCTATAGTGAAAAGAAGGTTGCACAAGTTTGAAAATGTCAGCAAATAAGAGGACAAATTCACGTTTATAAAGATGAAAGAAGAGTTTGGCGCAGAGAATAGGTGCTTGGAAACATGTTTGAACTGAACTGCTTCTCTCGCATAACAAAACCACTATTCATTAGCTGGTGATGGAATACCAAACATGGGAGAAAGCAAAGAGAAAAATGATGGGAGAACTGCATGTGCACGCCAGTTTGTGTGCAAACGTGTGTCATTTGCAGGGTGCAGGATTACTGGAAACAGAACAGAGACCACCCCAAGAGGAGAATAAAACAACAGCACAGGCTTCACCAGGTATTGGTGTAATCTTCCATATAATGTTGCTTCCATATGATGAGATCATATTCATTTTTTGTTCGTCTTTGTACAAGTTGATGGGAGTCAAGTAATAGTAATTCCACAAACATGCAAATATCTTCTCCCTGTATTCTACTGCAAAGTAGGTTTTTAAAAAGTTGCAGGGGCACATTAAACATTGTTTTATGTTGCTGGAGATGATGGCATGTTCCGCTGGATTATACTACACTATGGTAGGCAGGCTGTATTAACACCTCCCAGAAGAGCACAGGATTTAGATGGCAGGGCTAGAATCTGAACCCAGATGGTCGTCTCACTCCAGGATGGGATTCACTACTGTGTTCTGACTATGCCTACCACTCTGTATTCACAGAGCATGATGCTGTATGTCTCAACAGAAGACAAAGTTTATATAGAATTACTTTGTAATGGAAGTGGTTATTTCAACCTTATTGTTCTGACTTTGATAATGAAATTTGGCAGTATGTATCTGCCAAATCACTGTTGAAGATATATGCCACCTCTTTTTCAAATATAACTTCAGATTGAAAAACCTACTACTAAGTTTGCTTTACAGCCCAGAGGCTCTAGAGCTTCTAGTAGTCAGACTTCAGTGAGTTTATCTGACTTCTCCTCTTCTCTCAAAGATAACTGATCAAATATGGCATCCTGCAGTTGTACATCTCAACTCTAGACATTTCACAAGGTATATCTTGTAGAACTGTGAAGGAGGACAAACATCTCTATAGTGACAGAAGACTGACTTTTTCATTTGTAAAACAAATGGTTGTTCTTAGGCAACCAACATGTCATAAAATTATATTTCATAATGCTGAATTCAATAATTGTCCGGAGTCTCATAACTTCTCATTTCCTAAGTGTCTGTCCTATATTTTAAAATCATTTAAAAACAACTGACGTATTTTATATGTAGTGAAATCCCAAGATCTTATGCAACATTCAATCAGTTTTGATGAAATGTACATCAAGCACAGACCATTTCCACCAATCTAGAAAGTCTCTTTGTGCCTCAAGCCCTAACCACCAATCTGACTTCTATCACACCACAATTTAATCTACCTATTCTAGAATTTCATAAAATGAAATCATACATAATTTTTATGTCCAGTTTCTTTCCCTCAATGTTACATTTAAGAGATTCCTCCATACTGTTGCGTGTATCAGCAGTTCATTTGTTTTAATGGCTTAGTAGTATATGATTTGTTGTTTATCAATTGCATTTACTGATTTTTCTGCAGTAGACATTTGGTTGTTTCCAGTTTTGGAATACGTGAACAAAACCACTAAGAAATTATCTTACAAGGCATTTTCTGTGCATGTAAGTTTTCATTTATCTTAAATACTTATGAGTAGAGTTGCTGGGTCATAGGGTAGATGATTATTTCCCTGGTTATTTTGCATGAAAATATTCTTATGTAAGATTATTAAAACATTATGAATAACACCATTACTTTTGAGACATAGAAGTTCAAAAATATAACAGATACCTGCTAACAGCTAAAACCTATAGCATCAGAGAAGTGTCTTAAGAATTTCAGAATTTTTCAGATTTATAGAAAGAAAATTTGCCACAGATCATATAACATCCCTAGCAGTGTCTGGGGGAACATTCCTATAATACAAACTTTAATGAACAGAAAAATACACTAAGTGGGTAAAGACAGACTATAAACATGCTTTTCAGAACTTTTGAGGGCTTGCAATTATGGATGACAGATAACGGATATGTATAAATGTATATTTTTAAATTATGCCTATATCACAGTAAGATAAAGGTAAATGTTAGACACACAATAAGGCAAAAAAGCTTCACATATCTTTTTGTATTTCCCATTACACTATCTGAAGTACTCCCTCTTAATCATAATACCTGGCTTAGTGGCAAGAACTTTCCACAGATAAAGCAAGATGAGGTAGAGAGAAAGTATGAGGCACTTTAACCAGTAAAGCTTAGAATATGTAAACACACACATAATGCTACCTCAATTTGAATCACAAAAAATAAATATTTTTTACCTTAGTACAGTATGTTCTGCCTTTCTTCAACAAGGTATAAACAGATCCACTTAAAAGTAGTAATGATCACAGAAAAGAAAAGCGTTGTCTCAATAAGCATTTATTTCTTCCACTGCTAAATTCAACATGATACAATTTATAATGTTATTCTCCATAGTAAGTTTAATAGGAATGGTAAACTTTTGAAAGATTTATATGACTCATGATTTAGGCCACATACTAGCATTAGTAGAGCCACATCAT